AACCTTCAGAGTAAAGCAAGGAACAGATCTGCAGGGACCTCACTGTCCTCTGCTGTCCTCAGAGGAGAGTTGCTTCCATTAATGGCATGGGCTGTCATTGACAACATGAGCAATATGACTATCATGGGGTTGATGAGGAGTGTGCGTGACTGCCCTTCCTCTCTTAACACAATAACCCTGACTGACCTATTGGTCTCAATAGGACAGAAAGCCAGATTGCTTTGTTGCTTGTTTACCCATGACAGGTGGCACAATTTTAGCCTCATTCAGTTACGCAGACATTTCTAGCAGTGAGGTTTGATTACAGTCAACAATTCTCGATTACTGGTTTTAACATCACAAAGGCTATCTCTGAGCAAAAAAACATGTCCACCGCCCCAACATTAAAGACCACGTCAAAGCAAAAAATGATGAACCAGCTGACTAAATGAGTATTCTACCTGTGTCTTTTATATAATTTGTTATAAGAATGGGTTTATTAGTTTAATCAGATGTTCAGTTTTCTCCAATGTGCTGCCCCAAAGCACAATAATAAAAGGTTTAATTAAAATTACAAGTTTTTCTATTCATAGAGGCTTGGGAAATATACTAAATGCAAATCTGAAATTAAACCCTGTGTAATGCTATTAAGTACTTTATGTTTTGAGCCACATGTGACCTAAACTCCAGGCCTGATTTAAAAAACAGAACAGTGATTTAAAAAAAAAATGAGTTGAGGATGATACCGTGTGTTTAACAGTGAATCAGTGAAGAGAGAACCATGTGATAGAGCAGGACAGACGCACTGATTAAAAAGAAGTTGACAAAGCAACTGGAATGATTGATTTGTCCTCTCCAACCCTCTGTCATTTAAATTGTGTGGAACACACTAAAAAATGTTCACATGCATAACATTGTCTTGAGAGAACACATTTTTCAAGGAATGTGATGGAGCCCAGATTTAATTTTAATCAACATAGCAAGATTTTTTTTTAATTAAACATAGCTAACTTTACCAATGTATTGTAGAATGTTCACACTAAATGTCTCTGCACAACTTTGACTCTGTGTATTTAATTTGTTTTTCCTTCGGTATTATCTACAGGCATAATGTTCTTCTGGTTATGTTCAGGCAATTCAAACTTTAAATTAGGCTTATAAAACACCAGGTGCTTTGAATTGAAGTACCTGGTGTTTTACAAGCTTAACACCCTGGAGGCAATCCCTGCTCTCTGGTCTCAAAGTCCTGCACCTAGGAAATTAGAATTATCTCTCCTGTGTGTGTGTGTGTGTGTGTGTGTGTGTGTGTAACTGTCAAATACTTTTTCTTTGTATGACTTGTTTAATGAATTATTTGTTTAATTAGGTAGCACTTGTGTGTCACCGGTGTACATGCTGTAGCTTTTGTCTTTGTGCATCCTGTGCACGACCACACTGTACACTGGGACATGGAGCTGATCTCTGTCACATTCATGTGCTTATGATTGTTCCCCTAAAAGAATTTTTAAAGGCTTGGACTATCTTTGTCTGGCAGTGCTTTGTGCACTTTAATTTGTAAGGTAACATTTTTCTACTTCTACTATTTATTTACCAACCAACAGTGCTGTCTGTCAGTTAACAGTTTCTCAGGTAACTCAGTTTAAATGACCGAGACTAGACTGTCAGAATGGATAGACCAGTACTGGAGACCCACTCAAATGCATTCTGTAGTCAGAGTTAGCCTGCTGTTTTGTATCTATGTGGTGGAAGAAGTAATGATGGCTTGCAGCATTCCTTCTTTAATCAATATTTTATATACTGTAGCTAGCATGGACCGCTGGGTCTTTCTGGTGGACTTTTTGTCTGGATGCAATAGCTTGGCTGCGGCAAACACCTGTGAAATGTGAGCCAGGATTGTGCACCAAAGTAGGTGATAGTTGGCATCAACAAAATGGCACATCTACTGTCTCATGTCACAGGAGAATGAATGCCCCTCCACTGTATGCTCAGGTGTGATGTTGATTGCAGTGATAGACCCTTAGACCAGACTAAAGGCAGTGAGACCCCACAACAAGTAATAGCTGCAATGAAGGCCTAGGAGAGCATCGTGTGTCTGCTGATGTCTATGGGTTGAAAATTCCAGTCGGTGATTGACTGGCAAGGATTTTTCAAAAACATATTTAAGATGATTTTGTTTTGCTTCATGTATACAGTACTGTGCAATAGTCTTAGGCCAACATTAGAGTTGTTGTGTTAACAATGTTATGACTATATATTACCAGAATAAAACTAGAAACTATAGGAAATATGTACACAGTATTAAAAAAACACAAATGTAAGATGAAAATCAGTAAACTAACTGGATACTCAAGATGTGGTATTCAAGCTGTTCTAAAGAAATATGAAGAATCTGGAGAAGTCAAGGACAAAAATAGGAGAGAATAGACTAGAAGAACAAGAAAACTTTAAAAAATCTGATGAGAAGTTTCTCAGTTTCTTCTTTGAGGGACCTGGCTCAGCATCTGGCAGCTTCACCTAGATGTCAAGTTGATCCTTCCACAGTCTGAAAAAGCTGGGTCAGGAACGACCTTTGTGGAAGGACAGCAGCCAAGAAACCACTGTTCAGAATGGGGACAAGGAGAAAAGGCTGAGATAAGCAAAAGCTCACAGAGATTGAAGATCAGTGGAAAAAAGTGCGATGGAATGATGAATTGAAGTTTGAAATTTTCAGGTCGAATCATTGACAACATGTGAAAAAAGTCATTTTGTTCTAAAAATGTATTTTAATATTGTTTAAATATTGCCTGTATTTTCTGGTTATATCTTAATAAAGAGATGGAAATAAATATAACTTATTGTTACAACCTTGCTTAAACAGCAAAACTAATGGTGGCCTAAGACTTTTGCCCAGTGCCATATGTCCAGTAACGGGTATTAAAAAGGCCATATTTATCACAGTTCTTTTTATATCAGTCTGTACCTAGTCAAACTAAATCTGAGACATGCACTGTAATGTAGAATCCATCATTTGAAGTTGAATATACTGAAGCACAGAACCTGAAGAACAGAAAGTGTCCACATACTTAGTCTGGACCATACGATAAGGTGTGAGCTATGATTTGGGGTGCTACATACATGTGCTTTGAAAATGGGTTGTTTTAGTGTTTGAAGGATTGGAGTGGTTTTTAATGTGATCCAGCATGGCCTTTGTTCTGTTCCAAGATGTAATTCAATCAGACACATCCTTCCCTGTCTACCTGCCTTTCATCTCTGTCTTAAATATAATAGGAATAAGCCGTTTTAATTCAAACATTTAAAACAACAAAAGTTTCACACTGAACCACACAGGAGAGAAAAATGCTGCTGCACAATCATTGTAGCTTTTCTAAACATCCTCCAATCAGTGATTTTCCCAGCAGGACTTGTGCCTGTGACAGACAATTGAAGACCCCTGCTGTGACACCAGTGATTAGGGTGAGGCCAGAAAATTTCAACCTGTAGAGAGACCCTACATTATCCACAACCAAATCAGCCATTTCAATAGCCAAATGAGTCGTTTCATATTTTTTAAAATAACATGTTATGGTTCTGGATGTCTGCAGTAAATTATTTGTGTTAAGTACTGTAGAAAGATTAACAGTGTGCCTTGGACAAGCAGAGTACTACAGTATGTAAGTGTTACAGCTAATTGCTAGGACACAGGTCGCCTTCTTGGGTATTGTTCTTCTTACAGTGTCACTTCAAATGTAGTATGAGCTTGGTTGGTTATTTTAAAAAAAAGTCTGGATTAGGCTTTTTAAAAGGAGCTTACTGTGCTTTGAAATAATGCATACTCTTTAAGTGTAATAGCTATTCTCTGCTTCAACAACAAGGCAGTATGACAAGTCAAGGACAGACCCCTACACTGTGCTCGGTAACTTAAACCCATAGCCTTGAAGAGTGGCTTCTACTGGCTCTGCAGTATCATTACAAATGTCCCCTTTTATGTGTATTTAATCCTACAGGGCCGCTTCACTGTTTTGTATTGTTTTCATTTAATCCTAATATGGCAGTGATGTGAAAGTCTGACATAAAAAATATTTTATGGGTCTCTTTGCTTCTTAATTTCCTAGAAAAGCAATTATATGTGCCTTTTATTTCTTATAGCATTTCCTGCAAATGACTTTGTCATTTGGTTGAGCAATTGTGTGGTAGTGAAGTGAGCCAAAAGTAAGCAGGGGATGACTAGATGAAATCGGATAAAGGTACAAGGTACAGCAACAGCTGAAGGTATAGGGTTACCGAGATTGTCTTCCTGTGATTTTACAATTTACAGATAAGCACTTCAGTAAATATGACAAGTGCATACTGCATCAGTGTATATAAGTAAGCTATAAAGAAAATGGATGTTTTTTCTAATGAAAAATATTGTCCCAATTATTTGGGAATATCTACACTTTTGGGAACTATCAGGGTAAACACCATTGAAAGCAGTCTGGCATGTGTGATGTGTTAATTTGATCTTTTGTGGTGTGTGTGTGTGTGTGTTTTGGGTTCATAGATACCAGGATAGATCAAAGAGCCGAGTTAGGGCTGCTTATTGTCTGTGTGTGTGGGGGGTGGTGGTGCAGTGATAAGTTTCTATCTTGACTAATGGGTTTCTGCCTAATTATAGGACCAAACTTGTACACAATTATACACAATATGATGATGTGATGTTCAAACACTATCTTCATAATCTAAACATGAGGTTTGTCTAAACCTCCCAAAGAGTAAGCTCAGACTGTACTGTGTCTGAAGGTACCCAACACTGAGACTAGATGTAGGCTATTAGCAATAATGACATTATGCCAGTGCCAGTAACTGTCCAACGACAGGTGGTCATGTTCGTCCTTGTACTTCCCAGCCAACCTCCAACTCCTTCAAGCTGATTCTCTCTCTCTCTCTCTCTCTCTCTCTTTCGACATGAGTTTAAAAGAATCGGGTCGGGCCACATTGCAACTCTTATGTAAATAAGGAGACCCTGATGTAGGCCTATTCTAGTTTTTATTTGATAGTAGCCCTCTTGCCCGGGTACGTTGGTGCGTTTGGTTTTTCCATTATTTTCTTACAGGGACATTTTTCAAACTCTGAAAATTCGTAGTCTGATTTTCTTTATTGTACCTGCACTCTAAGTATAACATGTAATCATTTTTGTTGGCCAACGCGGTTTGAAAGCCAAGACATTTTGTTGCCACTTGTAGATATTCATCCATTTTGTAAAGGGCTGGCTCACTGCGCGCGCGCTCTTTCGGTGCTCTCCAATTAGTGCGCGCTCTCTTGTGTCAAGGTGAAGGCTTAGCTCGTCATTGATGCGCGGTTCAGAGGGAACTTGTGCGGCTGAAACTTTGACAGACATTGTTAAATGTCTGTCACATAGCTAGAATTCAAAGCACATGTTGCTTCTGAGCTCTCCCGATGTCTGACGAAAGAGAAGAAAGCGACAGTGGCGAGAGAGCGCGTCTCTCTGAGTCTCCCTCCCCGCCGCTGTCTGTCTGTCTTCCCCACAAATCTCCTACCTCTCAGCGACCCCAAGACCTCTTCTCCTCCGCCTCTCCACTACTGGGGGACACAGACTCGCCTTACCTCGCCTCTCCTGAGTGTCTTCCCCCGTCTCCAGAGAACCGAGAACCCGAGGGCTCCCCACACTTCCAACCGCCAAAGTTACGCCAGCGGACAGGGGACACCGGCTCTCCGTTTCGTTCGCGACAGGGTGTGCAGACAGTTGCTGTGCAAGACTGTTACAATGACCCTTTTCCCAAGTGGAGAGGACGAGTCGCGGGGAACCCCGAGCACTTTCAGCACCATGGACAGAGACTCCACCGGGCTCCGGAGCTGTCGGACTCCGGGAACCACTACCCTATGGAGCACATAGACACCGAGTTCAACTGCGAAACCCGGCAAACGTGAGTCATCCTCTAATCACTAACCCACAACTTTACCCACAGACATGATTCATAAGCAAAGTGACTAGTTTCGCGGCCTTGTGCAGAGTCCCTGCGCTTATTTACAAAGTCTGCAATTTACAGTTATGCAAGGAGGATACTGGGCAACAGTTTGGAAATGATGTAGCTTTTGGTAGAAAACTTTAATCAATAGCAACTAATCCTTCTGTGATGTCAACATGTAGAGGTTAGTTTTGGAGAGAGCAGCCAGGATTTTTTTCTGAGCCAACTACATTCACCTCTCAGGGCAGCTATGGACCTATGGTTGCCACTCAGCTGGACTTTACAGGTCCTTTATAGATAGCATCAAGCAAACTGGAAGAGCCAATTAGTATTATTGTAAGATCCTCAAACTGACATCCCCTCTTTGATGGAGATTTTGTATTAAATTAAATTACTTTAACTTGTGTGCTTCTATTTTATCTTGTGATGAAATGCAGCAGGTTTATCATAAATGTTCTGTTTAGTTTTTCAAAGACCTGGAATGTCTGAACGTCCCTTTTTCTCCTGCCTCACCTTAGGTTGATTTTGTGTCACTGTTGTGGTTAGAGTCCAGGGGTGGCCAATTCCAGTCCTCGAGGGCCGCTGTCCTGCTTGTTTTCCAACTACCCCTGCCTGACCTGCTGCTGATTACCTGGCTCAGGTGTGTTCAGTCAGTCAGAAGCTGGAAGATACCAATTCACTTTATCTTTCGTCACTCCACTTTCATCTAAGATGGTATCTTCCAGCTTCTGACTGGCTGAACACACCTGAGCCAGGTAATCAGCAGCAGGTCCGGCAGGGGTAGTTGGAAAACAAGCAGGACAGCGGCCCTGGAGGACTGGAACTGGCCACCCCTAGGTTAGACAGTAGAGTGATGTGCCCCTTGTGAGTATATGTACAGAAAATCTATGTGAAGAAGTGAAGAATCTGTGAGTTTGAATGAATTAGTATGTCTTTGGGGTTTGCCACTGCCACCCCTACCGTATGGTGCCTTACTGTTGAGAGAGTGCATTGTGGTTAGTTCCAGTGCATGAACTCATAAGCAACAGTCAACATGGATTTTGTGTGTGTGTGTGTGTGTGTGTGTGTGTCTTAGTCTAAGTAAGAGAGCATCTGGGGCAAAACCATGTGACACTGAGCTGGAGCAGACTACATAAACTGACTTTCACCATGTGTCCCCACAGTGTGACACTAATCACGTACACAAAACACGCACAGACACACTCATAAAAATCTGACTGGGGACCTTTTGCAGATGTAGTCTATATATATATTTCTCCAATGTCCTCTATGTTAAACTACTTAATGAGATAAGAGACCATTTGGTGAATACAGTCTGTTACATCCATGTGGGAATGATGGCACTTTATGGATATTTATGAAGCACTGCCAGCTAGGCTGTGACTATCAGATCTAGAGGATGGTAGACCTCAGTGCTGGGTCTTTGATCGTCCTTGATATGCATCTTTGATACACCAGTGTTCAGCTTAAAAGACCTTGCGTGGGGAAAAAAAAGCATGTATGCTGTCACTGATGCCTGACGAGGCTAAATGATGGGAGGGTGAAAGAGAGGATGAACATGTCTGCCTCTCATTACCAGCACAATATGGTGAGCAACTCAT